AAAACCATATTTTTACGATTTTACTACGCTCACCTTCAAAAACTCAAAAAATTCGTAATTTTTTAAACTTGACCTAATAACGTTTAATGCACTTTTTTGAATCTTTAGGACCTCTTGGAATGTAAAAAACGTAATATGGATCAATTTTAAAGTTGAAAATTTTTTTGATTTTTGTCGAGATTTTGGTCGATTTTATTACTTATTGGCAATAATAAATGTGAAAGCTATGAATGATTTTAACATTCATATAAAATCATTTCCTTTTACTTACGTACCCTTATAGTTAGTATACATTTCGCTGATTTAAAAATAGTTTGAGTTTGTAAATTGTAATGGAAAATAAATCTCATTTTTACTGCCCTTAATGTTTAATAAAATTATAAATGTCTACTTGAGTATTTTTTAATATTTCATTACGACGTTATGTTAGGGAAAGTACATAATATTTGGTATGGTAAAAACATAAGTTGAAAAAAAAACTTACCTATTATTTATATGTCTAATGAAAATTTTAACTAAATATAGTAAGATAAGAAAATATGCAACTGTTTAATATCGCAAAATAAAAATAAAAACAATTTTAGTAAGTACTTGTGTTACAAAAACAAATTATAAAAAAATAGTTATTTATGATAAAAATTGGTTTTGACTTTGGGAAAACAGCTAAATTTGTAAGATTCAACCTTGATTTTTAAGACGCCAAATGTCCTGATCCAGAAGTAAAAAGCCATTTTGGGGTGTGTAAAAACAAGATATTTTGTTAGTGTTTTAGGGCGTGTTTTAGGGCGTTATTTTGGGAGATTTTAACGGTTTTTTCGTGTGCCCAACTTTTGGTGGTCTACACATATTTGGGTACTTTTGGGGTGGATAAAAATTAATGCTTTTGAGAGGTTTTAGGCTTTTTTTGGTTGTTGGCTTTTGGGAAAACAGCTAAATTTGTAAGATTCTACTTTGTTTTTTAAGACGCCAATGTCCTGGTCCAGAAGTGACATTTTATACTCTACTCATCAAAACTAATTTTACATATAGCAGGTAAGTACTAGTTTTTCATAAGATTAAAAAATTTTTAATTTTTTGGTCAGAATCTGATACCTAATTTTGAAAAAACATATACATGATCATCAGTAATTTTAAGTAGATACACAAAAATGTCAAATGTCAAAAAATTAATTTCAAATTTTTTTGACAGATAGAATTTTTTCCATGTTTTTGGTATCTTATCTTACTTAAAATTTTTCTCTATAGCACAAGTTCTGAAACAGCCTGTATATTAAAAAAAATAAATATTAAAAATATTTATTGCACTCTTGAGTGTTTTTTTTTTAATTTTAAAAATTTACAAGACATCGAAAGAACAATTTCATTTGATAAAAATACTACAACACGAAAGAGGAGACAGACAAAACAGAAAATTTATACTAAAAAAATTAAAAAACACTGTGTCACTCTTTTATTTCAGCTTTGAATTTTGAGAAACAAAATTTCAAACTAATCAAGCTGCATTGTCATTGTCATTGTTTATTAAATCATATTATCCAGCAATTTTAGAATTACCATTGACGCTCTGTCATTGTAATTATCGTCACGGCATATATTTCATAAGATTTGACGACAATTGTCTGACGTTTTAACATTTAATTCTAATTAGTTTTCAAGAAATTGTTATCTATTTGAAGCGTGATTTTGTTTTTAATAAACTGCCATAGATCCCGCTAATTGTTATTCTATCCAAGAGAGTGTCGCATTTAACTTCGTTATCACCAAATTCCAATCATCGGCATTAATAAATCATTAGCAAAAACTATAATTATGCATTAATTCCGTTCTTTTCTAATCAGATTAATAGATAGGCTTAGAAACCGCTTTTTACAACTAAGCGTAGCGGAAATTATGGAAATAAGGCTTTTTTGCGTTTTTTTTTTCAAGTTATACTCTCCAAAAACTTTACGCAATAATCCAGCTGCCACTAAGAGTAAAAATGAAAGTAATTAAAACAAAAAGTTTTTTCATTCAGGAGATGATGTCATGGTATTCTAGTCTACTATATGACTCATAACAGAAATTTTCTAATCGTTTGCTTTTTTTTGAACTGTCAATCTTGGTAACGAAGTGCCCGAAGCCTTTTTCTTGTAGTAGTCAATTATAATATCTAGACGGAAGATAAATTGGTGGAAGCAGGTTGCTTTTTTCTGCTACTTCTAATTTTAGACATTGTATCATCCATTTAGAGGTTTTTTTCTATCATTATGTTGAGTGGATTATTTTATCAGGTGGTAATTTTAAATTTTGACTATTAATTAATTAATGTAAGAAATCGAAGGCTGATTTTAAGACATATGCAAATACTTTAACAGATGCTAATAGAGCTCAAAAAAGTCAAAAAACTCACTTGCCTTTTTCGAATTTTTATACAGGGTGCGCTAGAACTCGCGCCCAGAGAAGATAAGATACCAGGAACATTAAAAAATTCTATCTATAAAAATTTTGAAGTTATGAGAGTTTAAATTTTACACTTTGACTATTTATTTCTGTTGGAAAACCAATTTTATTACTTCAAATGTTACGCAATGTAAACTTTGGGATAAAGTACTTAAAAGGTTCAAACTTTGTTTATATTGCATTTTTTTCGATATGATGGTTGCACCCTCTACAGGCGCCAGAACACGCGCCCCAGAGACAATGTTAAAAAAATGCTATCTATAAAAATTTCGAAGTTATGAGAGTTTAAATTTTGCACTTTGACTCTATTTATTGGAAAAATAATTTTCCAAGTTTTTTTGCTATAGGCTATTAGAAAAGGAAGCTGTATCCTAAATTGTAACTCTGTTTAATGTTATTTGGGGTTTTCATTGCCAAAATTTTTGTACCTTTACTAAATAATTATAAAAAAAACATATACAAGATCATTAGTATCATTAAATAGACATAAAAAAGACAAATGTCAAAAAATAAATGTCAAAATTTTTGCACATACCTTCAAATCAACCGGTATATTGAAGCAGTACCATAAACTTTTTCACTTTGTTATTATTCACTTGTTTTTTAATTATTTGGAAAACCCCAGTATCGGATTTTAATTAACAAATCTGTTATGTAAGTTAGATTCATTGTTTATTAAAACTTCACAAAGTTGCAAGTCTTTTAATAAAAATATTTCTCATCGATTCGTTACGGTGATAAATTGTATTCGCGAAAGCTTGCTAATTGTTTCAGAATTATTTCGCTAATTAATTCCTTCGAGTTAATTGCATTTCGACAACCTTTTAAGTCTTTTGACAAAATCACACTTAATTTTGTGTTTCAATCAACTATTTTCTTTTGTACTCAATTATAATGTACAAAAAAGCTCAAGTCAAAGCCCAATTGTTTTTATACAATCAGTTTAATTTGGTTGCGATTTTTTGGCTTTGAAAAAAAATACTAAGTAAAAATGACATACCTTCGATCTCCTCGAAGACGCCTGATGAGACGCCGTTTTCGACTAAAACTGCAGCAATGAATTGGACCTAATATAAAGGAATCGTCATCTGATAGACCAGACATTGCTGAGGTCTCCTGTGGTTACTAATTATCTTCCAACATGAATCGGATGTTTGATGAAACATCGTGGACGTGGTGTTTGTGTAAATATACGTATTTTCAGAAATTATGCAACATTGTCAATAAAAAAATATTCGCACCATACCTAATTAGCAAAGTAGGATTTAGGCCCTTTTAAGTTCCTAAATATCCAGATTTTTAGGAAAAATATGTAAGCATATTACTGTCTAATCCTCTTATTTTACTAATTTTTTTTCAAAAATGTCAAAAAACAATCGTCTTAAGGTGTTTATTACTTGTTTTCAAATAGTTTTAATCAATGAAGATGGAAATAGAACATTTTTTTGTGTTGGCCCACCCACATTTTTCTGTTGAGAAAAATAAGTCTAACGAATAAATATGTGGAAATCACACAGAGAAAATGTCCTTGTGGTCAGATTAATAAGAGGGAGCTGAATGTCGTCTATTCATCAAATTACATTTTATTCTGTTTTATTCTTTCTTTATTGTGTCTAATTTTATCAACTAAAACGGAATATTAAAACAATAGCACAGATAGGGATGAAAATGCCGACAATGCCTGCGTTATAATCAAATATGTGTTAAAACAACATTTAAATTAGTAGAAATTTAATAAAATCAAATTACACTAAAAAATATTTCTAGTGTGATTCTTATCTTCAAGTTGGCGTCAAATTTAAAATCTTAGTAAACTTGATTTTCAAAATCAAATGTCAAACTTTTATAAGCAATTGTCAGTCATTTGTGACGGGCAACCGTTGATTTAGCCGTCATCTGATGTAGGTAACAAATTAGAAGGATTACGAATAAATCAGTGTTGCCAATAGATTTTTTCTTATTAGTCGTAGAAATGAGAAGTGATAAAAAGTGTCCATATTATTAAATGTGGTCAACTTAATTTCAGTGCCATAGGCGTCTTTGACCAGAATTAAATACTGAAACTTCCTGAAATAACAAATAAAAAAAATTAACAATAGATTAGTGTTGCCAATATTTTTTGTCACAAACAATAACAGTCATCTGGTACCGTGCGATCAAAAAAAAAAAAAAATAGAGTAGGCGGTGATTAAAAGATGGCAATCCTGATTCTTGACATCAAATGTCAGCGGAAACTTTGACAAGTTTGCGTTTTATTCATTTTGAGTAGAAAAATTGTTGCAAGTTATTACAAAAATGCTGTACAAGACGAAAACGGTGAATGGTCATGTTGCCAACTGTAGAGTATTAATCGTCGCCTACTCTAATTTTTTTTTTTTTTGATCGAATGGTATTATTTTAATTTTAAACATTATGTTAATAGTGATCATTTTATTCATTTTTATAGTCTCACAACCAACATTACATATCGTAATAGAGAAGCGACATCTGGTATTAGTTGTCTATTGTAAAATAAAATCGTGAAAGTTTTCTGTACCTTCACCTTTTGTAAACGTGGATGTGTTGTTTACGTGTAATTGTTGTTACTGTGTTGTCATCCGACTTTTCCAGTAAGACAAAACCACTTTCCTCTAGTATTTTTTATTAAAATGAACATTTTTTTTCCACAAATGACAGAATATAACGGGTGATCAAGAATGATTGTTGAGTTGGCGAAACTGACTTGAATAGACTGGCAAGACTGACTAGAATAATTCCACACATTTTGTGGGATGTGTTGGTAACATCATTTATGGCATTCTCCATGGCACAATTTTCCGTATTTATTAAAACTTTTACAATGAAAAAGTGTCAAATTCTGTCAAAACTCTGTCCGCGTAGGAATATCCGGACGTATCGCGATACCAACCCAACATATTTCAAATTACTGCAATTTACAAATTTTAGCATAGCGATTCTAGTACTTTTCTTGTTATAGAGTTTTTCACCAAGATGTCAAAAATAAAATCAGTTTACAAACTATAAAAGATACAAAACGGAAAAGTAATTTTCAGCTGCAGTGTTGCAAACAGTCGGTTAAAAAATTTTAAATTTTAAATGAACCTTTATTTTATCATTTTTATTCGTGAATAAATTGCTAACACAATGAAAATTTTTCAGGAAATGGACATCAGAGTAGTTGCACTTGAAAGACAAGAGACTGAGACTAATTCTGTCTATGGATCGGCAGGCATTATGATAGACAATAAATATGTGATTATTACTGCAAATATTGTATCTTCATTGATTGATTCATTAAAAAATTGTCTTGGGACAATTACTGAAAGAAAAATCTATCCTTTCCACGATTCCAAAACCATTACAGAATTTAAAATATTTTGGAAAGGTGACAACATCAATAAGTATAATGCTGTGAATGGCAGAATATTTGCTGTATTCAGTTGTGAAAATTTGAGATTATTTTTAAGACGAATTTCACTAGACTGGTCGTTGGATACGCCAAAAAGTGGACGAGTAGATGATATCATTTTATCAATTTTTTTTGTAATCCGAATAAATGAAGTGGGCACAATTGATGGTTTCAAACATTGTCTGAAACAGTGGTGGAACTTGATAAAAAACGAGGATATCAATCAAATGGACGACATTTTTGTAAAAAGTGTAGCATTTGGGAATAAAATGTTCCTTGATTCCTACAGCAGAGGGATAGTTTCAAGCACTGTGGGGCGAAATAATTGTCTAATAGTCAGTGATTGTGCACTCACTCCCGGCAGCGAGGGCAGCCCAGTGTACAAAAATCATAGGTAAAAGATTGATAGTTCACTAGGTATTTTCTTCACAATTTTTTTTACCCAGCAAAATCACCAGTTTACCTTTTGGTATAGTAGTGTCAGCCTTGTCGTGGTGGAAGGGTGACTGGACTGGCTTAACCTTAATTCTGGATATTCGCTCTGTTTTGGCTGAGTTATTTCAAAGCGATTATCAAATTATGTCCAAAACGATTCATCATCGTGTGCTGGGTGCGTAAATATGTGATAATTAGTTACAAAATCTATGAAACACAATTTTACTGACAACAGTATATGTATTGTTGACCTTACCTTGACTATAGTTGGAAAGTGACTCATTACTGACTCTTCTATTACTAGCCTCGTTTTCTAGTCCCACTTTTGTCACATACAGGTCCAAAAGTCTGGAAACGATGTTATTTTGGCGAAAGTATCAAATTTTTTGGCAAATAAATTTATAGGTGTGCAATGGCTAAAAAAAATATTATTCAAAAAAAATTGAATATCAATTAATTGTTTATACTTACGAGATAAACATAGTAACATTTTTTTTTTAATGGAAACCTACCACAATTTTTTTTAGACAACGAGTTTGTTACAAGAATTGTTGCTGTGCAATTTTTTTTTTCGTAAACCTCACACTTTTTTGTTAAAAAACAAACAAATAGTTGCAATTATTATCTACGTAAACATTACCCTCCCTACAATTGTGTGACTATTTGGTATCTGATGTTAACCCTTCCGATAGGATTCGTAATAATTGCAACTATTTGTTTTTTTTTTAATACAAAATAACGCTATTTCTTTTTGAAAACAAATTAATAGTTTTTTTTTAAATATTAAAATACTTATTACATAAATTAAAGAAACGTGTGCTGTTGTCTCAGAAAGCGCTCCAAAGACAAACAATTTTTATTTGGAAATTAAAGCAAAATGACGATGCCGTAGCAATGACATAAAAGCAGGCGTGCTTACCACTGATGGTCTACCACCCCATGGCCGGTGGAAGAAAGTTTTGACAACAGATAAAGTTTATAATTTTTTTAACGTAAATTGTAACATTTTCAATAAAAATTTTTGTACATTTATAAAATGCATAAACATATCTTTGTAAAACAATAAATAAAAACCGTTTTTATTTAAGAAAAAAATTAATGGTATGGTAATCTCAAAAGTTTAAACAATTAATTAAAATAACAAATATTTTGGCTCTTTTACAACCTTTAAACATTTATTAATTTATTTCCAAAAAAAGCTGGTAGTTTACTTAAAAAAAATTCTTTAATTCTTGTAAGTCAAACATTTTTTTAACAAAAAAGTGTGATGTTTACAAAAAAATTTGCATGGCAACAATTCTTGTAACAAGTTCGTTGTATAAAAAAAATTGTGGTAGGTTTCTATTAAAAAAAATGTTACTATGTTTATCTCGTAAGTATAAACAAATAATTAATATTCAAAAAAATTTTTGAATTGCATTTTTATAGCCATTGCACACCTATAAATTTATTTGCCAAAAAAATAGATGGTTTCGCCAGAATAAAATCGTTTCCAGACTTTTGGACTACCCTGTATAATCACCACGTTGTTTGTTACCATGACTATATAAACGACTGACTGTCGTCGAGGATAACTTTATCTCGAACTTTCCACTTTAATATGTAATATACTATTTTATAGCAAGCACTGAATCAAGTTTGATCCAAGTGTATTGTGGACCAAAATGGGGAACGGCAATTATTCTAAGCGAGAAAGGAGTACTTTTGACAAATTCTCATGTGATTGTAAAAAAGTATTGACAAGTAATTATTTTCTTTGAATTTTTTTTTTTTTTTTCTAAAGGATTTCAACCACGATGTAAACATTTACTTGAAAGGACAATCAATTAAGGCAAAAATTATTTATAAAACACCCGACGACGAAGTTTTTGATTTAGCGGTGCTACAGTGTGATTCTGCTTTTTTTAAATCAAATAATTGTAAACCAATAAAATCCTATGAGAGATCTCTGGTGGTGGGTGAGTAAAATCGATTCAAATTGAGCTGCAATGAATGGGAAAAAGTAAATGAACTATTCCGTAAATAATTTTTTTATATTTTTGTTGAATAATTGTATGTTTATTTACTTTGGGTATGATAAATTTAATCGGCAACGGCCATACCACGTTGTAAAGCACCAGTTCTCGTCCGATCACTGAAGTTAAGCAACGTCGGGCGCGGTCAGTACTTGGATGGGTGACCGCTTGGGAACACCGCGTGCCGTTGCCATTTTTTTCACTTATAATTTTTACTCTAATTTTTATTTCTATTTGTATTTTTATTCCCGTTATTTCTTTTTTGGTTTATTAATTTAATTAAATAATTTTGACATAAATATCCCAATTTTCGTTAGAGTTTTTGCACTTTTACTAAATTTTTAAAAATATATCTGAAAAGTGTAGTTTGTTATTGAACGTATAACTGCTACATTGATATATAATTAAACCCCAGGTACAGTTGGAGACAAAATACTTTGGTCGTCAATGTCACTTGAGTGACATTAAATTATAAAGCATGCTTTAGGACTGTTAACCTTATTTTTAGCTACTGTCAATCATAGTTGACAAGTTGTATGTACATATTTTTGATAGGAAAATATAATAGCTGTCATTAATTTGAAATTGTCATTCATTTTAACGTTAAAGCTTGAATTACATTAAAGTGTCAGAAAAGTGACGACCAAAGTATTTTGTCTCTAACTGTACCTCAAGTACAAAGATAAATACTAAATTCTATGACACATAGAATTACCAAAACTTGATTTTTTTATAGGTACCATGCTTTCAAATAAATTTCTTACCGAAGTGTCCAATGCTTTTGAAATTAAGTTGGCAACATTGACCATCAAAAATTCAAACATCACACTTTTGTCATTCATTATTTTCAAAGGGCGGCCGTTGGTATGGCTGTCAGCTGACACGATCTGATATAATTAATAATTCGGTGTTGCCAACTTAATTTAAGTCACAATAATAAAAGTGATAAAATATAAATTTGTATGTAAATAATCACAAGTCAAAAATAATAATTAGCTAACTAATTAAATAATTTTTTTGAAAGATTTCATTGTTTATTTCCTTTGAATACCACAAGTACTGTTGGCAACGGCCATACATGGCATGTCCGTTGCCTGTGATAATTCAATGTTGCCAACTTAATTTCAAAGTCACAGACCACATTATTTACAAATTTATCTTCTTGGAATACAATAAATTCTTGGATGGGTGACCGCTTGGGAACACCGCGTGACGTTGCCACTTTTTTTCCTAAATAATTTTTGTTGCACTTTTTTATTGTTTTTTTAGGTGAGAAAGTGTACGCCGCTGGTTTTGCGTTATTTTCCAAAACCATTTCCACCATTCCCATGATAAGCAAAGGCTACATAATTCAATGTAATGAATCTATGATGCGAACAACGTGTTGTGTCAATCCAGGAATGAGTGGTGGGACAATTTTAAATCAGTTAGGTGAAATAGTAGCTGTAATAGTTTGTAATTCAAGACTGAACGGACTTGTATATCCAAAATTTAATATGGCAATACCTTATAGCGCAATTAGACGGACTTTACATCAGTTTATAAAAAGTAACGGTGAGTGATATTCAACTGCTAGTTTTTTTTTAGTTGGTAATTTTGTGTAAATTTATGTTTCATCGTTATTTATTTTTTTATGCATTACTTAACGGTATTCATCACTTATCAATTTATCTCTTTTTTTAGATTCTTCGATGCTTAATAGTCTCCATTCAGATGATCCTAAAATAACATCGTCCTGGAAAACGTTAACTGCAAAACTGTAACAAATAAATGCAGATTTTTGTTTGATTTTTCTTGTTTTTTTTTACTTACCATTTCCACAAAATTATGTTTTAAAAATTTACAAGTGACATCCCAAAAATTGGACGGTTGAAATTATGATACGAGTTTTATAAGTTTTATATATAAACGAGATATCATACAGTATTTTTTCTGCTTTTCACTTTTTTAACCAAAAAAAATAAAATTTTGGAATGTAGGGAATTTTGCGGCAGTTGACAACATTGCGCGGTGGCTATGAAAAAGATTAATTTGAAACGTCATTATTTTATTCGTAAAAATGAATACTAAAGGTATGCGTAAGCATGAATATTTTTTGCGATGATTAATTAAACCAAACACAGCAAAAATTTCGTATTTGAATAATTTGATTTGCATTAGGCCGATTGACACTGACATGACAGTTCGATAGAAAAACGGTTAGGCCGCCAACATTATAAGACTAAATTTTCCTCTTTTTAGTGTAATTTTTATAGCACTGTTTTTGTTCAGTACGAAAACTTCACCTCAAATTGGCTTTTAATTTATAAATCAGAGCGTTTGGTGCTTACAGAAATCAGTAAAAGAACACTCTTATTTTTCAACACTTCAAAAGTACATACAAAAATACATATATCTCTAAAAATTGACACATGAAAAAATGTTTAAAAATTCACGAAAAAACGCCTAACAACCAAACGGTTAATTGATTCCTGAAAACAAAATGTAATTTCAGTATTTTATAAACAAAAAGTGGCAACGGCACGCGGTGTTCCCAAGCGGTCACCCATCCAAGTACTGACCGCGCCCGACGTTGCTTAACTTCAGTGATCAGACGAGAACTGGTGCTTCCAACGTGGTATGGCCGTTGCCATTCGAAACTTTTGTATTCCAAGGTAATAAAAAATAATTAAAGAAGTCCAAAAATCAACGAAGTTAGTTATTTTTGTTGATTAATTATTATTTTTAACTTAATTAGCTTGATGTCCAATCAGTTCGTGCTTATTTACAAACAAGTTTGTACTTGTTTACTTTATTACATATTGTTTTGCTATTTAGAAAAATAATGTTTGTGTTTAATTGAACAAATATTCAACTTCTCGTTTAAATAAGAGTAGTAAAAGTTTTGTTTTTTATTCTAGAGATTTTTAAATGCCGTAAGATCCATTCAAGTTGGAATTTTTAGCTCAAGATCAAAGAATAATTTTAAAATTTAGCTATGTAAATCGATTGGAAAAAAATTGTAGTGTGCAGTTTACTAAAGGACTGTTTTTTTTTTAGAATAATATTTAATAAATATTTATGGTGAGTACAGATTTATACTTATCAATTGGGTCAGCAGTTTTAATTAATCTTCTATTACCGATATAAATATTATATAAGCAGGTGTAAGAGAAAAATTGACAACTTTTTTCCAATAATATTGTGGTTGCATCGAATAATCTTCAAATAAAAGCCCTGAATCTTGTATATTTATTATGGATGTAATAATTCAAAAAAAAAAATCTTGAAAAAGTAGCTTAAACGCGAAAAAAACCTTTTTTTACACCTATCAAATTTTATTTTAATAAAAGGATTCTAGTAATTTGAGGTAAATAAGAGTAGGTATTGTTAAAGGAGTTCATTATTCTTATTATCATAAGATCAGTATAAACACTTCTTAACATTTAAATTTATAGTTTTGTTTTTGAAGGATGTAAGATGCAAGTTTGTCTTGTAGACGTCTTAAATTTCAACTTTTTTTTAGATTAATTGATAAAAAACCAGTGCCTACACTACAGGTATCAACAAAGCCAACTGTGCAACTCAAAATACACTAGATCTGGCCCGAATTCACCTCTTTCCTCTGCGAAGTTCTCCACAAAATGGGTGTAAACGCAAACTTGGGGATAAAGGAACTTTGTTCTCACTTATTTTTTTGTGATACATTTTTTTGTTGAGTGCTGAAAGTTGAAACGTGGTTGATACTTTTGACACTGATTTTTGATGTTTCCATGTCTCTGATTGGCAACATTGTTGTTACTAGTCAAACCATAACATAACCTAATAAGTAATTAAAAATAAGTGATAATAGTGTGATAAAATGATGGAATAATTCAAGTTTAAGTGAATAAAGGTTATATTTTAAGTGCGAATTTATAAACCGTAGTGAAATTTTATCTTTTTTTGGGAAATAGAAGTATGCCGGTATGCAATTGAGGAGCTCTTTAACCGCAAATCTGTTTTCAGATCGTTGAATTCAAAATGCCGCTCAAATATTCACCACAGGAATATTCCCAAACCCTTCACTGGAACGACATCCTAACATCAGTCTACTTGCTCTTAGACTTGAGCTTCTTGTACTACAACAACCTTATTTTATCAATCGGCCATTCCGACTCGATTTACAACATTTCACTCCTCGCCGCTCTAGAATTCATAAAATACRTCATTCACATATCTAGAACCAAGACTAGTTTTTACAAACATCACGCCAAAGACTTTGTTAAAAATATCACCGTGTTGCTCGTCCTCTTTGCAACAGTTTACGTAGTTGCTGTTTTGTTCGGCGCGCCTGTATTTTCCGACTTTCAAGAAACTTGCATGTTTTCACTGATTATCACAACCTTCACTGCGCTTCCACTTTGCTTGTATTTTGGGGGCGATAACACTGTAAACATGTTTCTGTCAATTGCTTCGTACGAGGGGGGCGATGTTCAGAAGCTGTTTATGGTGAAGCTGCGTCTGACTTTGTTTGGGGCGTGGCTGGGGGCCATTGTCATACCTTTGGACTGGAACAGGCCCTGGCAGGACTGGCCCATCCCGTGCAGTGTGGGGGCCATGGTGGGCTACATGATCGCAAATTTCTTAACTTCTCTACTTCAACAACAGTATTTTGCCAAGTTTATTCGCAAGACCGGAAAATATATGCTTTAAGTTGTAAATAATAAACTCAACTAACAATAAATTAAAGTTGATATATTTAAAACAGAGGAGAAACACCAATTTAATAAAATAAGATCTTGAGTATAATTGKATTTTTGATCCAAGTTGCCTGTGACTTTGAAACTATGTTGGCAGCACTGACTAATGTAAATACAATTGCGGACACGGAATTTTGGACGATTTGTGATTCGATTGACATAAAAACGTAAAATGGGCTTTATGCAACTAACCTCACTTTCGGTTTTTCTAATTTTTATCACAACAGCAAGAAAAAAAATGACAACAAATCAAAAAACAAACAAATCGCTGGTATTATTGTTTCGGAAAATCAACGCCAAAAATAGATTTCAACAAAAACTTTCAAATATTAGTTTGAAATGTCAATCATAATGACAATAAAGCGTGGCTTACATTGTCATTTTTAAAATGGCTGGCAGGACTGGCCCATCCCGTGCAAATTTCTTAACTTTTCTACTTCAACAACAGTATTTTGCCAAGTTTATTCGCAAGACAGGAAAATACAGGGGTGCGCCCCAGAGAAAAATTTCAAGTAAGGTAAGATAACAGGAACATGAAAAAAATGTTTAAAAAATTCTATCTGTCAAAATTTTTTGACATTTGACATTTTTTTATGTCTATTTAATGATACTGATCTTGTATATATTTTTTTACAATTATTTAGTAAAGGTACAAAAATTTTGCCAATAAAAGCCACAAATAACATTAAACAGAATTACGATTTAGGATACAGCTTTCTTGTTTCCTCTTCTAATAGCAAAAAAAATTATTTTTCCAACAAAAATAAATAGAATCAAACTGCAAAATTTAAACTCTCATAACTTCCAAATTTTTATAGATAGAATTTTTTTAACATTTTTTTCATGTTCCTGGTATCTTACCTTACATTCTCTGGGGCGCGAGTTCTGGCGCAGCCTGTATAGTACCTACTTTATCATTCATGAATTAGTTTTTCAAAAAAATAAATAGTTTAAGCAAAAAACGTTTGGTTCCTCACTTTTTATTCACTGGTATAGTTCTGCATAACTGGTCCTATGTTTATAAACCGCCTGTATACTAAAGATGATAATAAATTTTTTGCTATCAAGCATTTTTGTTTGTTGATTTTTATAACTCATCTTACCAACATTGGTTTTTAGTTAGGATTCTGTGTCAAATTGGGAAATATCCGGCCTTATATGGCATTTTTCTCTGGGGCGCGAGTTCTGGCGCACCCTGTATGTGCTTTAAGTTGTAAATAATAAACTCAACTAACAATAAATTAAAGTTGATATATTTAAAACAGAGGTAGAAATTACAATGAAACGAAAGATTCATTCATTTACAAATAAAACTTCCACTAGCAGTACAAATACTCAACATGGAATTTTAGAGAATCACATAGTTGAAAAATTTCTTATTTAAGTATAAATAAATACATGTAACTTAGTACGTAGCTTCTCTAGTATTACATTATGTAACAATAACATTAATTTAGACGACGTAGTAAGCAATTCGAGTGAGGCCCTCGTGCATCAGGTCAAATCGCCGCTTTAATTATTTTTATCTTCAAAATCTTCAAAATCATCAGTCCACTTGAGATCCGTAGTTTTCGGAGAAGTTTCCGAATGGTGACTAGCCACGTTTTCGCTAAAAAAATCATCATCAAATGGATCGCTTTCCCGCGCGAAAATATTTACAGATTCAGACTTTTTTATATTAATATCAGACTGAAAGTTATTGGAGAGTCTATTTTTATTGAGTTTCTTTTTCCGAGAATTCGTTGCATTTGTGCTAAATGAGCTTTCTTTGTCATTAGGATCTGCTTCCTCCTTGATACTTGATATGCCACTATCTTCAGGTAACGGTTCTGCTCTCCCACTGGGAGAAAAATCATCTTCAAATAAAGATTTCTGTTTAGGCGACAATTTCAATGGTCTCTCCACTTGACTTTTCTCAAACATGCTTTGTTGTCGCAACACTTTCAACGATTTGTTYACAACAGTCGGKGARTCGGCTTCGGACGTTTCAAAATCATTTTCGAAACTGAATTTTGGACTTTGAGAAGGAACGAAATCATTCTCGAATAAAGATTTAGCACGAGAYGTGGACTTRCGTGGGAAGGTACTAACAATATTCACTTCACTTTTTGGACTTTCCTTCTTTTTCCTGTTTGCTAAAGTGGCGCTTTTCTTATTGCTGTGTTCATCGATTGGTTTTTTCTCAGCGAAATCCGCTTCGAATTGTTTCGAGTACTGTTTACTTCGGTGCGATCCCCGTCCTGGGGGCCCCGTTTCCGGTTTATGTCGATGCGAAGACTCCGAATACTGCGAATCGCGGCTGCGGGAGCGCCGCCCGGGCTTGTACCGTCTATCCCTCTCCCCGTCGCTGCCCCCTGATACCAAAGTGTTAAAATTTTCCAATTTTCGTCGGAAAAACTCACCTGCCCCAAAATAATGTCGCGACTTGATTTCACCCGTTTTTCGGTCCATTTCGGACGCACTACTCGGCCGCTTCCAGTTTCTCCTTGCTGTTAAATAATGGGAAGATTCTTCCGCTTCGTTTGAATACTCGTCTTCCCATGGGGACTCTTGGGATTCCCGGCTGTAATAACGCTCACGCCACATTCCAGGAGGGCCGTCCATATTCGACCAACGAGTGCTGGGGTATCTGGGTTTTTCTGGAACATTTGCGATTTTAAATTGAAAATGAGGAATAAGGAGAAAAGTCTCTTTTTTTTTAAATTGAAATGCCAAACAGTCTTAACGTTGGCATCACTAGTAAATTCATTAATGGTAATTTTAATAAGGAAGTTGGCAGTTCCGGTTTTTGAATTAATTTGAAAACAATGTCATTAAACGTCAACACAAAAAATCGTCTAAGAAAATTTAGAGACGAAACACCAAAAAAGAAACAAATTRGGTACCGCTAACAGTTTTTKGWAATTTGGAAACMAARAGTTCGCAAGCAGYAAGTTAGAAAAAGGGCCCGTTAAAATGTAGACGCAATTTGTAATGCAGGTTTGCTAAATATTCTTAATTTTTAGCAAGAAATCGACAAGAATACAAAATAAACATGAATGAGAAAGAACCTCGGAAAGAACGCAATTAAATTAGTTAGTGTCTTGTGCATCTTTTTTGAGGAATGAGTTGAAAAAGTAATAATTTTGAAACTAAAGCTGAAGAAGAATTTATAAAATGCATCAATTTTAGCTCATTTCAATAAATTACATAAAATTTATTACCAATCATCATAATACCCACTTGTATCTTTTGCTAAATAACTTTTTTCTGTATAAACATCCTTTTTCTTCAAAGCAAGAATCTCATTTTTGTCCACAACATTGTACTTACTTGCGGTGTGTTTCTGTCAAAACTATTAGCACTGAATTCTGTCTTTAGACCTTAGGTAATGATGTCTGACCTCAGGTATTCAATTATAGCGCTTTCAAAGAACAAACAGGCACACAAGATTCATAAAAGTCAAAATTTTGACAACATCTCAATTGAAACACAACCATAATTTTTTAACAAAATTTCTAGGGACAAAAACAAAGAGCAAACAAAATTTGTGGCTGTGGAGACAAGCTGCTACCAATTTTTTCACCAAAATTTTGACTTGGTAATTTCCATTAAAAAAAAAAAACAGACTTTACCATGCTCGCCCATGTCCCAGTCTGGGCAACACCATCGATCTCTCTCCCCTTCGCGTCTGCGACGGTGTCTTCTACTCTCTTCACTCCATTCAGGGTCCCATTTGTCGATGTCATGTTCCCGGTTTGGTGCGTTGTATCGTTCTCGTTCCACTTCCCATTTTTGACGATGAAATCGCGGAACGTGTTCATCTTCGTATCTGTTGGCAACACTGAATTATTAGCGATATTAAATTGTGCCAGTGACGGCCATCACGGCGGCCGCCCGTCGGGAGTGAATGACAATCTAGAGATTATTATTATTATCTATTTACTCACAAGTGAGTAAATTTGACTATCTATACAGTGTGCGCCAGAACTCACGCCCCAGAAAAAAATATCAAGTAAGGTAAGATACCAGGAACATGAAAAAAATGTTTAAAAAATTCTATCTGTAAAAAAGTTTTGACATTTATTTTTAGACATTTGACATTTTTTTATGTCTATTTAATGATACTGATGATCTTGTATATGTTTTTTTTTACAATTATTTAGTAAAGGGACAGAAATTTTGCTAATAAAAGCCACAAATAACATTGAACAGAGTTACAATTTAGGATACAGCTTCCTTCTTTCCTCTTTTAATAGCCTATAGTAAAAAAACTTGCGATAATTATTTATCCAACAGAAATAAATAGAGTCAAAGTGCAAACTTTAAACCCTCATAACTTCGAAATTTTTATAGATAAATTTTTCTAAATATTTTTTCCATGTTCCTGGTATCTTACAGTTGGAGACAAAATACTTTGGTCGTCAATGTCACTTGAGTGACATTAAATTGTAAAGCATGCTTTAGGACTGTTAACCTTATTTTTAGCTACTGTCAATCATAGTTGACAAGTTGTACATATTTTTGATAGGAAGATATAATAGCTGTCATTAATTTGAAATTGTCATTCATTTTTTTTTAACGTTAAAGCTTGAATTACATTAAAGTGTCAGAAAAGTGACGACCAAAGTATTTTGTCTCCAACTGTACCTTATACCAGGTGAATAAAAAGTATGGAACCAAACGTTTTTTGCTTAAACTATTTATTTAAAAAAAAACTAATTGATGAGTGATGAAGTACTATAAAAATGTGATGATTTAACAAGAATAAAATTTTTCGAAATTTTCTTTTGTTTTTGAGTTCTACAAAAAAATTTATTTTTTTAAATGGCAACACACTATAAAATCATTTGTCTCATAAAACCTATACTCTAAGGATTACAACTATCTGCTTTATATTTAATTTTTTCAAAAAAATTTTTTCACATAAATTGCAATTTTGACAAAAAAAAACGCGTAACTCAAAAACAAAACAAAATTTCGTTCTGAAAATACGATCACATTTTTTAGATTACTCTAATTTATATTAATTATTATTTTCTGGAGGCAAATGATCAAAAATAAAACCGCTTGGTTCCATACCTTATATTCACCCTGTATGGCAATTTTCTCTGGGGCGCGAGTTCTGGCGCACCCTGTATATATAAAGAGGCTTGTCTTGACTGACCTATCAACCCACAATAGTTAAACAACCCACAGCGTAAACTGCTGGAGACACAAATTTCAAATTTTCATAGTAGATACCTTTTATAACGTATAGTCCGGTCAAATTAGTCATAAAAATAGTGGTCAAATAACGAAAATTCCCACAGAGCTAAATTTTGGTGGAGACCTTGGGTACACCATTAGAAATAAAGTGTCAAAAGTCCCCATCGATCCTATGTGTGCTAAAAAAGTTATTCGGGGTCAAAGGTCAAAATTTGAAGTTTTTAAAAATTTTTTCGGAAACGGTAAGTTTTATCAAAAAAGTAGCCCAGACAAAAATTATATGTCTTAAAATTATCTACAAAATGGTCTATATACTTTTTTCCTAAGAATCACCATTCCTGAGATATCTCGATTTTAAAAGTTGTAAGAGTAACGTTCTACATCATATGCACATACAGAGTGCGCCAGAATTCGCGCCCCAAAGAAAAATGCCATGTAGGGTAAGGTACCAGGAACATAAAAAAAAATTAAAAAAAATTCTATCTAAAAAAAATTCGAAGTTATGAGAGTTTAAATTTTGCACTTTGACACTTATTTATTTCTCTAGAATAAATAATTTTTAACGTTTTTTTGCTACAGGCTATTAGAAGAGGAATCAAGGAAACTGTATCGTAAATTGCAACTCTGTTCAATGTTATTTGTGGCTTTCATTGACAAAATTTTTGTACCTTTACTAAATAATTATAAAAAAAACATATTCAGGCTCATCAGTATTATTAAATAGACATAAAAAAAATGTCAAATGTCAAAAAATAAATGTCAAAAATTTTTGACAGATAGAATTTTTTAAACATTTTTTCAGTACTCTGGGGATTACCCAATTACTCCCTTTCAAGAAAGTGTCCGATTTTTTAAACACTATATGTTTTACCAAAAAAATTCTTCTTAATTCCAATGGAATCGAGATATTCATAAGTTTAATGAAGTAGAAGAAAAATTTCAAGTTAGATAAGATACCAGGAACATGAAAAAAATGTTTAAAAAATACTATCTGTCAAAAATTTTTGACATTTATTTTTTGACATTTGGCATTTTTTTATGTCTATTTAATGATACTGATGATCTTGTATATGTTTTTTTTATAATTATTTACTAAAGGTACAAAAATTTTGTCAATGAAAGCCACAAATAACATTGAACAGAGTTGCAGTTTAGGATACAGCTTCCTTGATTCCTCTTCTAATAGCCTGTAGCAAAAAAACTTGGAAAATTGTTTTTCCAACAGAAATAAATAAAAGCAAACTGCAAAATTTAAACTCTCATATCTTCGAAATTTTTATAGATAGAATTTTTTTTTTATTTTTTTTATGATCCTGGTACCTTACCCTACATGACATTTGTCTTTGGGGCGCGAGTTCTGTCGCACTCTGTATGTGCATATGATGTAGAACGTTACTCTTACAACTTTTAAAATCACGATATCTCAGGAATGGTGATTCTTAGGAAAAAAGTATATAGACCATTTTGTAGATAATTTTAAGATCTATAATTTTTGTCTGGGCTACTTTTTTGATAAAACTTACCGTTTCCGAAAAAAAAATTAAAAAACCTCAAATTTTGACCTTTGACCCCGAATAACTTTTTTAGCACACATGGGATCGATGGGGACTTTTGACACTTTATTTCTAATGGTGTACCCAAGGTCTCCACCAAAATTTAGCTCTGTCGGAATTTTTGTTATTTGAAATGTCTATTTTGACCGGACTAGTAGACATCCAATAAGAAAGGATTTTTGGAAAATCAACCCCCAAGGGGGTTAAATGGGGTGGTGAATTCGAAGTTTTAAAGCTATATCCATGAAAATTGGTATTTAGACTTTCGGTTAAAAATAAAAAAAAATACGTATTTTACCATTCTTGAAAATTCTACCCTCAAGGGGGTTAAACAGGGATGACAATTTGTATTAAAATGTGTCATTTATAAAGTTAAATCCTTGAAAATTTGTATTTAGGCTTTCGATTAAAAATCAAGTAATACGTGTTTCAGGATTTTTGGAAATTTCACCCTCAAGAGGGTTGAACAAGGGTAAAACTTCGTAAAATATCCATTTTTTTTTAAGTTAAATCTATGAAAATTGGTATTTGGGTGTTCAGTTAAAAACAAAATAGCACGTGTTTCAAGATTTTAGAGAATTCTATCCCTAAGGGATGAAAGTTTGTATAAATATGTATATAAATAGTTAAACATGGAATGAAAATTTGTATCAAAATTTGTCATTGTTAAATAATATCCATGAAATTTAGTATTTGTAAAGAAATATGTGTTTCAATATTTTTAGAAATTCCATCCCCAAGAGGATTAAACGTGGGAGTAAATTTGTATAAAAATTTGTCCATTTGGATATTATATTCATAAAAATTGTTATTGGGGCTTTCTATTTTAAAAATAAAGAAACGCATGTTTTTTTTTGAAAATTCCACCCCTAAGAAGGCCAAACAAGGGATGACAGTTTGTATTAAAAAAATTTGTCATTTTTGAAGTTATATCCAGTTTTATGTGGCCTGTTCCAGAGTGAGTGCCGCAAGCAGTTTGGTGATTTTAGCACATGAGAGCCTTGTATATAAAGAGGTTCTTAATTAGATTAACATCAATGCATATTCGTAAGCCCCAAACAAAGAAGCAATCACAAAATCAACAAAAGTTTTACATATGTTTGAAATGTCGATTTTTATCCACCGAAGAAAAGCAAGCTAGGAATGGAGTGTCACAGTTTGAGAGGAAACCATTATCCCTTGAGATTAAAGACTTAAAATTTTACGGTTTTTAAATAAGTTATAAAAGACGGACTTTTTATTTTTACTACGAAGTTCATAATAAATTATGTGTTGCTATATTTTGTTAYTYAGTTTCTTAGTCCTTCTGCGTTTTGAAAACTAGCYAAGCCGCGGGCAACAGCTAGTTGAATAAAAAAATGTGACGTTTGAGTTTGACATCTCATGTTGCCAACTTAATTTCAAATTTGATCCTTACTCATAATCATCTTCATCATCCCAACTGTCGGTATGCCTCCGATCCCTGTGTTTTTCGAAGGAATGTTGTCTGGCATGTTTCCCCCATCCCCTTCGTCTGGGTTCCTCCTCCCAGGGACTGACGTCTCTGGAGCTGGAGGAGTGTCCCCCAGCGCCGCCTTGACTTCCGTGAACATAAGCTGTCTGCTTCCGGCGTCTTGGTTTCTCGTAACATTCGTAATATTCATCCTCGTAGCTATCAGTCGATCGTCGATTGGATGGATAATATTGCACTGAAATAAAATATTAAACACTGTTAAAGTGGAAGAGTTTAGTTACCTTCAGGTTCGGCCGAAGTATCCCACCAGCCTTCTTGGTCTCGTCGGATTCGTCGTTTCGTCCAACGATCACCTCCACTTTCTGAATCCCCAGGTCGCCAATCTGGGGGAGAATTGTTGCCGAATTCTTTGGAATCGCTTGACCAAGGCGAGACGCCTTCTTCACTCTGAACTCCTTGTTTTTCTTTAGCTGATTCGGCGGGGACGTTGCCCTGGTCGAAGATCGCCCAACTCTCGCCTAACATGCAATTTTTGTAATCAACTTATTTTAGAAACACCAATTMAATAAAATKAGACTTTGAGTATAATTGAATTTTTGATCCAAGTTGSCTGTGACTTTGAAACTATGTTGGCAGCACTGACTAATGACGATTTGTCATTCGATTGACATAAAAATGTAAAACGGGCCTTATGCAACTAACCTCACTTTCGGTTTTTCTAATTTTAATCACAACAGCAAGAGAAAAAATGACAACAAATCAAAAAACAAACAAATCGCTGGCATTATTGTTTCGGAAAATCAACGCCAAAAATAGATTTCAACAAAAACTTTCAAATTTTAGTTTGAAACGTCAATCACAATGACAATAAAACGTGGCTTACATTGATATTTATGAAATGACATAATTTGATGTCCAAAATTCCGTGTCCGCAATAGTAACAATCCAAATAAAACCTGCTTGTCAAGAGTGTCCTGACAATTTTTGAAACGTATGTCTTGAATAGTAGTATATCGTATTGTATCCTAAATGTTTTGTTATTTCATTAAATGTAATAATCTATGTAAGACATACGTTGTGATTATGAATTATGATCGAGAAAATGACATGAATGACCAGTGTTGCCAGCCCAAAAAAATTTAATTAGCCAGATCTGACAGTTGGAAAAAGTTGCCAAATTACAAGAGATTACGATTTAATTTTTTTCAATAATGTTGTATGTTTTTACATAAACTAAGTGAGTAAAATCTAAGAGTTAGGTAAAAAAGAATACCTGGAATTTAGTAATTTTTGACCCGGTATGGCAAAATATCGGTGTTTTCAACTCAAAAATCCCTTGAAAAAAGCAATAATTACATCGTTTTCGGTCTAATTCTGTAATTTTTCGGATTGTTTGTAAAGAAATACTTGCGTTTTTAGCCGAAAAACGTGCTAAAACGCCCAAGAAATGCAAAAATCATATAATTTTCCACTTAATTTGTTGAATTTTTTTTTGTTGGTTGGGCAAAATTTCCCAAAAATGAAATTTTAAAATAGAAACGAGCTTAAAAGCACTTTCGACTAAACTTTGTGGTTTTTCGGCTTATTTTTATTATTATTAAACATCATAGAGCAMAGTCCCTGATCGGGGCTATGTTGCTGTGTCTTAATTTTGCTCAAAAACCAGTTAAATCAAGTGAAACAAACAAAATAACATCAATTTAAATTAATTTTTCTGATTTTTAGGCGTGTTTAATAAATAAGCCTCTGGTTCACAAAAACAAATTAAATCTAGCGAAACAAGCTAACAAATAATATCAATTTCTACTATTTTTTGTGACTTATGAGCCTGTTTAAACAATTTTTAATTTTTTTTATCCCAAAAACATGCGTAAACATAAAAAAAGGTAAAAATAACATCAATTTTTGGCCTGATTTGTTGAATTTTCGGCTTTTTTTAACAAAATTTTGCGAAATAATTGTGATTCTTGCTGAAAAATGTTAATTTTTCAAATGTAAATTGTTATTTTCGTTCTTGTTTAGTAAAATCTCGTAAAAACAAATAGAGAACTATTTTTAACTAATTTGGTGTTTTTTTCAATTTTTTTGATAAAATTTGGCGAAATAATCGAATTTGTTGAAAAACGCTGAAAATGCGCGACCCACTATACAGGTGCGCCAGAACTCGCGCCCCAGAGAAAAATTTCAAGAAAAATTTGCCATTTATTTTTTGACATTTGACATTTTTTTTTATGTCTATTTAATGATACTGATGATCTTGTATATGTTTTTTTTTACAATTATTTAGTAAAGGTACCAAAATTTTGCCAATAAAAGCGACAAATAACATTGAACAGAGTTACAATTTAAGATAGAGCTTCCTTGTTGGATAATTTGGATAACTTGGATAATTATTTTTCTATCAGAAATAAATAGAGTCAAAGTGCAAAGTTTAAACTTTCGTAACTTCTAAATTTTTATAGATAATATTTATTTAACATTTTTTCCATGTTCCTGGTATGTTACTTTATATGGCATTTTTCTCCGGGGCGCGAGTCTGGCGCACCCTGTATATCAATAACAACTGAAAAACTAGTGTAAATTAATTTTTTGTTGTAACTGCAGTTACATTTTTTTATTTCCAAAAAATCACGACATAGGTATTAGAATTTTTACCAATTTATCAGACTGGAATGAAAATCACCAGACCTGGCAATACGATTCAATTTGATAGTCAGTGTTGCCAAAGTAGGATTTCTCGGCCTACTTGACGACAAAAAAATCACGGAGTAACAACGTCAGTCTTTAATGACTCAGTGTTGCCAACTTAATTTAAAAAAGAACCCAAAATACCTGCAGCATCTTCTGGCTTTTTCCCCATTTCTGAATTACTTCCCGTATTGTCCACTTCCGGTGAACTTCCACTGACAACATCCGATAACGAGCCAGAATTCAGCCTCGCATTACTTTGCATAATTTCAGTAATAGCCACAGGAACTGGACTTTTCGCAACTTTATTCACCGGCGTTACTTTTTCTTCTTTCTCAATGGGGGCACTGTACTCAATCAAATTGAATTTCGGTGAYACCGGTTTCTCCTTCTCTTCCTCGATAAACTTATTTTCATTATTGATGATAGCCGTCTCGTCTTTGGACACCTCTTCATTCAACAAATTCTGTTCGTTCTCATTCTTRGTTTCGCTCAATTTCAACTCACTTTCGACGATTTCACGCAACGCGGCGTACTTGTCCTTAGTCGAGTCTTCAACACTTTTATAAATATTATTAACATTGCTGTCGACCACCGAACTCGCAATACTGCCTTTTTCCTCCTTGAGTTCCTCCGGTTCGGTGTCGATTTTCGTCTGTTTGATCTCCTCGTTCATCAATTCGCGAAAAACGGCATAACGGTCGTAGCCCTCGCTCGTGTTGCTGTTCAAATTGTTGAAATTCGCCGCAAAATCGGCGTTGAAAGTCATTTCTGTGTTACTATTAGCCTCAACAGTGCTGGTTTGGCTCTTCGCCTTGATAAAATTCGATAAAAAATTGGTCAATTGCACCAAAGTCATGTTACTCAACTGATTGGTCGGAATATTCAACTTCGTAGCCAACTCATTCAAGCCACTTAACGTCAGTTGGCTTAAGGTTATGTCCAAACCCTCCAATGAACCCAGGTTTTCCGTCGCCGTGCTTGTGATTAGGTTCGGTTTCGATTCCAAATACGAGGCGACTGTCACTTGCGCCTTCTTGAGGGCCCTCTGCGGCGGGGGCAACAGAATCGGGGAGGCCCTTTTCTGCACCGGTGTCAAATAATCCTCCTCGCTGGTTTGCACAGTGAAGGGTTTTTTCGGTCTTTCGGGCACCGTCCCGAAACTCGGTTCGAATTTGGTTTTGCGAACCGGAACCGGAATCGGGGGGCTCTTGTCCATAGTTTTGATAAACTCGAGACTGTTTGGGGCCGTTTCGTACTCGTCCATGTAGTCGTAGTGTGACTCCTCGACGTGGGGCGGCCGCGGCGGGGGCTTGACGGAAAACTCGCCCCCTTGCTTCTTCGGAGGCAGGGGCGGCGGCTTGATTTGCAGGAGACTCGATTCGGGTCGAGGGGGCGGCTCGGGGGCGCACTCCGAGCCCGAGGACATGTCCAGACTGGCGTTGTCGTGGAGTCGTGTGAATTTCTCGTAATTTGATTGGTCGAAAGTGGTTTGTTTGGTGATTTGCACCCCCTCCACTACTGGTCCTTTAGGCGACTTCGTTTGGAACACTTGTTTCGTCTTGAAATTGGCGAATTCCGTTTCGAAGGGGTCCTGCGCCTCGGCGAAGGGGTCTTCGGTCACGAAAGGGTCCTCGCCGAAGGGGTCGGTGCTAAAATCGTTCGATAATTTCGTAAATGGGGGCTTTTTCGTGAGCAAATTCGACTCCTGCTGCTGGGATTGGGACACCAAATCATTGAGAGCTTTTTTTGGCGGATTTTTTAGTTCTTGAAAGAAATGTTTCTTATCAATATATGGCTTACTTCTACCAGTACCTAAGGTAAAATAAAATACGTCACTTATTTTTAAAGGAAACTCAAAATTAGGTTCCTAAGAAAAAAATAAAACGCAAATTATTTTATTTTACCACAGATATTGTACCGAGTGATGAACTTAAAAATATATATATGTGTGTGTGTGTGTGTAAAAAAATGAACATATGAATGAACAGAAATCCGTTAATTCAATTTCTGGTCAAAGACGCCTATGGCTTTGAAGTTGAGTTGGCAACATTGGAGTTCATTCAAATTGGATTTTCCCGCTCAAGGTCAAAGAATTTTACAATTTAGGTATGTAAATCGGCTAAAAATTACTGAAGGACTGATTTGGTAACAAAACTGTCAAATCTGTGTGTCAAATCGCTTTAATAATTGCGATGGAAAAATATTAAAATATTTTTTAATTAAATAAAGTAAATAATTTTTTTTTATTTCGGTCTTATAATGAGATTTTTGTGTAACTGAAAACAATTGCATAATAGGAACAAATGAGTGCTTGCAGAACCTTCTGCAACGAGTGTTTTATACTATTTTTTTCTATTTTGCCTATTTTGCCGCTTTATATCATTTTATTAATTTACAGTAGGAGACAAAATACTTTGGTCGTCACTTTTCTGACACTTTAATGTAATTCAAGCTTTAACGTTAAAATGAATGACAATTTCAAATTAATGACATTATTATATTATATTTTCCTATCAAAAATATGTACAACTTGTCAACTTATAATTGACAGTAGCTAAAAATAAGGTTAACAGTCCTAAAGAATGCTTTACAATTTAATGTCACTCAAGTGACATTGACAACCAAAGTATTTTGTCTCCAATTGTACAGACAAAAATTTTAAATCTAGGGAATTTTGCGACGGTTGGTGATATTTATGTGGAATAATTTTAGGCGGTTGTGAAAAATAAAAATAATTCTTATTTTCAAAATAATTCTTATTTTCACATTTGAAAATGAATAGTGAAGAAAGTCCGTCACTAAAATTAAATTAACGCCAACGACATCATTTGGGTGCTTTAATAGACTTATTCTGACACTGAAATAGAAAATACAATTTTGTGACATTGTTTTTTGCGACATTTTATGCAATACTATAGCTAGTGCCGTTTTTAAGTGAGAAATTGTTGCAGTTCAACGTATTTTACCGAAACTAATGTAATTTAAGCCATTTTCGAGCAATTTGGGTACCACATTCATCAAATATCAAAAATTTTAACTGTCAAATATAATAATAATGGACGATTTGTCATTCGACTGACATAAAAATGTAAAACGGGCCTTAGGCAACTAACCTCACTTTCGGTTTTTGTAATTTTTATCCTGAGAGCGAGAGAAAAAATGACAACAAATCAAAATAATTTAATGATCTTATATAAAAACACGTATTTCTGGCATTATTGTTTCGTAAAATCGACGCCAAAAATAAATTTCAACTAAAACTTTAAAATTCTAGTTTCAAACGTCAATCATAATGACAATAAAGCGTGGCTTACATTGACATTTTCTGAACTGTCATAAATTTGATGTCCAAAATTCCGTGTCCGCCAGTGTAATAAACACAAATTAAAAATGACTCAATAGAAAAAATAGTATAAAAAACGCGTGTTATAAACTCATTAATTTAATAGTTATTTATATTATAAGTATTTAACTTACATAAAATATTTTACCCTTGAGCTTTCAAATAAAAAAAATGCCAAATTGACAGAATAGGGATGAAATAAAACGGTTTGGAAATTACTAGTTAGTAACTATACCTAGCGACATTCAGCTTACAACATAACTTAAATCTGGTTGGGAAAATCCAATTTGAATGCATTTTAGACACTGAATCATTTTTTTATAATTTTTTGTTACATCAAAATGGTCTAAATTTGCCAAAAAAAAGATTTTAATTTGAAAATCACTCAATTTTAATTAACTCAGGCACATTATTCAATGTTGCCAACTTAAACTTGAGATCACGAGTCACTTTGATCAGAAATTTATTAACTCAAGTAAAACCCAAAGTAATTAAATAAAAAACCTTAATAAAACAGAAGCTCACCTAGGGGATCTAGTTCGGTGAAAACATCAAATTGGGATAGAATTTCCTGCTTGGTCATTTCGTGTTTTTCATCTTTGGTGGGTTCAGGCACTAGGGGAGGTTCTTTGAAGATGCTTTTCGCTGGTTGAGTGAACCAATCATCTTGTTGGGGAAAAGCGTCTTTTTTAACTTTATCATCTCTCGATTTAATTAAACTATTATCACAACTTGCAGTGTGGGGCGTTCTGGGACTGAAGACACTGCTTGAGTCGGAACTCCGACTCGACCTTTCCCTTCCCGAAGACGGAGGTGGTGGCAGAATTGGCTTCTAAATTTCAACCAATCACAAAACAATCAAAACCTTCAATTCTCTTACAGTGTAAGTGGTGAAGCTGTCCCCAAACGGGTCGTCTTTAGCAGCCCCGAAAGGGTCAGAAGGAGTGATCCTTTCCATTTGATTGAGGCCTTGTTGGAGACTATTCAACTCCAGTTCGAGGTCAACCAAGTCGGCGACGGCAGTCCCACTCGATTTCCCCTCGGAATTGGAGGCCTTGCTGTCGTTCGTCGCGCTTTTCGTCGTTTCTTGACTCGCAGGCTTCGTGGCGGAAACGGAAGAGTCGGAAAACAGCGGCGAGCTTGTAAACCGGCTTTTGTCCAAATGCTGTTTCGCCAGCTCGATTTCCTTCTTCTTGAGGGCAAAAACGACCTGGAACAGGTCCCTCATCGCAATGACGACCTGACTGGCGGCTTTGTCTGTTTTAATCCCGAAAAATCTATGTCCTGTGTCTGGGGACCCGAATATGTACCCGAAGGCCCGCGAATCGGTCATGTCTTGGGCGATAAACGATATTTTGTGGACAGGGTGGTGGTAGAGCGAGTCCTAAAACACACCATAAGCTCGTTTTGGGCTGGTGGTGGGACTTACCCCTGTTTTTTCATCCCTTAATCGCAAACCGTCGATGGCTATGTTAATTGTGATGCGTTGTTTGTGTTCCCCTGCCGCTCTGATGGCCATTTTCAGGTCGGATAGGGCTTCCTGGCACATGCGGTCTCCTCTGGCCTCAGACACTTCCAAAATTCCGATCAGTTTGGCCTTAAAACTCACTCCATCGCCCAGGAATCGAGTTGTTTCGTTTTTATCTGAGAGGAAATATGCTGGTGAGAAAACAGGAGTGAAACAGTGAGCGATTATGGGGACTGTTTGAAAGCTACTCACATTTCAAAGGACTAGTTTTTTTTCGTAATGTTTGCATGTTTAGTCAAGTTGGTGGGTTTTTGGAAGCAAAACACTGTTAACCATCTGGGACCAAACCGTCACATTTTATCACATTATAAATTGACTTTACACTTCCCATAATAATGGAAATGGTATATTTACAAAGCGGTTATCTGAAAATGGTTCATTTTGGGTGCACTGAATTAATTCTTTATATTGATCATTGAATCCATTGATCAACCCCATTTAGGGGTGTAGCAAGTTTGGGGTTGAATCTCGCACATGCTCAGTCTACTACTCTAATCACTTTTTATCGATTTCAAAAAACTTTCTCTCTACTTGCTTTTTGCCCTCATAACCGCTCAATTTGGACGAAATAACGAAAATCGAACATTTTGCAGAAAATAACCCAACACCTTACTTATTTCTACCATGGGATTTTGATGGGGTAAAAAAATAAAAGCAAACTACCGTCTGATGATATTTCAACCATTTGGAAAACGGACTTTTCCAACTTGTGGCGTAAATTTGAATTTTTCCAAATCACAACAAACCAACGTCATTGAGATAAAAGTACCATGAATGCGGCAACCATCACAGTGGACGTCATACCATCATGGACCTCATCATTTCCATAATTAGTTGCGCTATTTTGTCATTCTCAATCCAAAATCGCCAATTTATGCGTACAATTAATATACGAAAGAATTAAAATTCATGATTTCATTCGAAAAATTTTTTATTGATGAATGTTGAAATAAAAAATTTAAATTATGTTAGGGAAATTCGTTTTTTACTAGTGACATAACCACACTTTTCCTGTCACAATCACAATCTAATACGAAAAATCACTGCGTTGTTCATTTCACTCTTTTCAAAAGAATTTGAATTAAAAAAAATTCTTTAATTTTTTATTTTTTTTGATTAATGGTGGAAATAAAAAATTTGAATCTAGTTAGGGAATTTAGTTTTGGTACTAGTGACATAACCTTACTTTTTTTGGTCATAACCTGTAAGAAAAACCAGCGCGTTATTTATTCAAATAAAATGGTTAAAACTCTGGAAAAGCAAAAACTAATTATAAAAGATGCTCTCAGCAATGTCGTAAGTGTTTTTATGTTTTGTKACATTTAAATTAAACACATGATTTAAGGACGCAAAAGCCAATAAAAAYATCATTTTCGATGAAAATCTCGAGGTATCCAACAAATCTCGCCTCAATGGAGGTGCCCCACAGCACGAGCAGCAAAAGCCGCTTTTTGAAAGTGACGACGAAGCCGATGACGACTTAAAAATCGAGTTAAAACCTCAGTTTAGTGGCAAYAAGGGGCATCAAGTAAAAATTCCTTATTTTGTGTCATTTTTGTTTATTTGGTTTATTGCAGCTCTTTGAGTTGCAGTCGAGGTATAAGGGCGATAAACGGTTTGCCTTGGATGAGCGATTTGTTGATAATAACGAAGAAGAGGAAAATGCTTCAAAAGTTGAATGCTCACTTGAAGAAGAGAAGAAACATGAGTTGAACATCTTAGAGCAAGTATTGGGGACCAAAATCAGGACAAGAGATGTAAAGGTGCAAGAAGACAGGTAAGTAACGTGTAAGGCTTGCTACTTGTTTACCCATTAAGTCTTTCAGTTCAAAGAAAAAAAGGATGTTGAGGTATGATCCATCACAATCAGATCATGTCAAATTCCACGTGACTGTGGCCCCAGACGAGTCAGCTTCGAAAAAAAAGGCAAAGAAAAAGAAGAAAGAAGCACAGAAAGAAGAACAGGAACAAGAACAGCCAGTTGTTTCTAAAGAAGTTTTCTATAAAGTGGAAGATGATTTAAAAAGTGCACTTCAAGAAAAGCAAGACTTTAGTTTGTTAAAGTTATTTGGACAAGAAGAAAAAGATGAAGTAATCAACTCCACCGAAGATTATGAAACACAAACAAATAATAAAATACGGAATCACGGGTTTTTAAATGAGAATCCCTTTCACTATGACTCTTCAGATGATGAAGTGGAAGAACCTGAAGTTGAAAAAGTTACAAAAAAGAAAGAATTTGAAACCAGCGTACAAACGAACACAGTTAAAGCTTGGTTTGAGCCATTCTTTTTAAAGGAGGATGATTATCGGTTACAAGGTATAAAGTTTTATTTTGTAGGGCAAATACATATTTTTAATGAATTTTAGAAGGGTCTGACTTTGTGAAAAGATTAGCTTCAGAGAAGAAATCTGAATTTAGCCAGCAAAGAAGAGATATAAAGGATATTGTTAAGGCGAAAGTACGAAACAATCAAAGAAAAAATAATCCGTTCAAGAAAAAAATTGGAGGAAGTAAACGAAAAAAGATGATTAGAATAAAAAAAGCAATGAAAAAATGACATGCACGGCTGTAGTTCATATCCATATTTTTTAATAATAATAATTTTTACTCGTTATATKTTTTCTTGTTTTATAAGGCAAATGAGAGAAAAACTACACAATGTCAGTAGAATACTTACTTATTTGAAAAATTATTATACAAAATACCAATACGACTTTTACCTATTTCTAATATTCATTGAGGAAACATAAATACGAAACGAAATTTTGTACAAGCTATAATCTAAGTCTACTAACGAGAATCTGAGATAAATTTTAGTGGAAAATGCATCACTAAATAAATTTTATAACAAAAGCTAAAGTAAAACTTTATAAACTGTTTTAAGAAAAAAATAATGAAACTACAAGCTGTATGGTAACAGTATTCAACAACAAAAATAATGTTCATAAACATGCACTTCTTTTGAACATCTTGGAAAAATATTTTAAAATAAACAAATTTTAAGTTGAATCTGTTATTTATAACGCTTATGACTGAGGCAGTTAGAAAATTAACGGCTAGTCATAAACACCAATACTTGGAATATTGAAATGTACTTATTCTTTAGCCGGAACTTCAATAACCCGAGGTTTATCAATGATCCTAGCAGTTCGGTTTCCCTTCTCAACAATTCCAATGATCCAAGCTTGATAACCTTCTTGTTTTTCTATATCTTTACAGTAGGCTGCCGCTTGTTCTCGCGGCAAACAAATCAAAAGTCCTCCCGATGTTTCCGCCGAATGTCCTTGTAAAAGTTGAAACATGTTACCGCAAGCTTTCGCTACCGCTGCCATCTTAGCAATTACAGGCAAGTTATGGATAACAAATGAAACTTCGTTCTTCTGATGAGAAGCTAATGTTTGTGCGTGTCCTAACAGACCAAAACCTGTCACATCTGTAGCCCCATGCGCATTGTATTTATGCATCAATCTGCTGGCGATGCGATTCAGTCGCGCCATCGAGTCCATTGCACGATGATACGCTTTACGCACGTCCTCTTCACTTACCACTAACTTTATTCGGTTCCAGCGCTCTGGCTGGTCCAACCACTGGTGTGCGTTGACAGCTACCTGCAATTCAAATACACTTAAGTTTGACAAAAACCACAAGAATGGTTTACATACTTGTGTTCCAAGCGGCTTGGTGAGAACGAGCACATCTCCAACCACAGCATTATCTGGCACGATATATTCATTTGGTTGACAAACGGTTGTAGCGACACCACCGATCGTACACCATGGATTAACAACGGTTTGGCCGCCTGTTACAGTTGTTCCAGCTTCCAATGCAGAATCTTTGAAACCTCTCATAATAAGAGGAATCACTACATCGCGTTCCTTTTCAGTCATTTTCGTACTGACTCCCAACAACATCAGCATGTTATCGCATTCTGTTACTCCCATGGCATATAAATCACTCAAGACATTGGCACATGCTATTTTTCCCATCATGTATGGATCGTCTACTAATGGATAGAAGAAATCTGTTGTCTGAACCAAGCAGAGACCTCCATGACGGACCGGGGTTACCTGAACACAACGAAAAAAAATATTATTTTATTACACAAAGCGACATTTTTTCAATTTTTTTTCTAACATTCATAAAAATACCTGTACAGTTGGAGACAAATAATTTGGTCGTCGTCAATGTCACTTGAGTGACATTAAATTATAAAAGCATACTTTAGGACTGTTAACCTTATTTTTAGCTACTGTCAATCACAGTTGACAAGTTGTACATATTTTTGATAGGAAAATATAATAGCTGTCATTAATTTGAAATTGTCATTCATTTTAACGTTAAAGCTTGAATTACATTAAAGTGTCAGAAAAGTGACGACCAAAGTATTTTGTCTCCAACTGAACCCCTATGTAATTTTGTTTAGAAAATCTAAAAATGATCACTAAAATTCTCCATCACGTAAGGTTTTTTTGTTTGGTCGAAGTAATCCACATTCACGGTATAGACCGAATTAAAAAAATGTATTAAACCATTTCTAATTTTAAATTACACAAAATAAAACACTAGATATTATATTGAACACAAATTTAACAAAGAAATATTTTCGAGAATTTCGCTTTTGTTTTTCATGAGGAACAGTCTTCCTTTTGCAAAAACCTGCAGAAATCCCCCATCATCGTCGAATCCCATATACAGGGTGATTCAAAAATGTCAGACCAACTCTAGAATGGTGCTAGAAGACTTTCAGCAAAGCATAAAAATTAATTCTGATTTTTGTTTCAAGTTTGTTTTTGATAAAATCAGAACTGTCAATTTTCATATTATCATAATTATAGGCATCTTAGTTTTTTTGTGGCCAATGAATTATAATTTATTGTTGAATTTGCTAATTTGCTAAATGTTTTTTACACCATAAGACACAAATTGGTAATTTTTTTCAATAGGTATCTGTTCAGTCTTACAAGATTACATAATCGGCTAGGTCAAAAACTTAATCCTTTGAAGAGCTATATCTCGTGAAAAAGGCCCAAACAATTTTTTATTATGGGAATTTTTATTTCAGTTGGATGTCCTTTTCACCACCTAAGAGATGGTCCGACACTTTTGAATCACTCTGTATATCGTCGGCTTACTTGTAAAACCTTCTAAGTTTAAATGACTGAAAATCGAAGATTTTACAAGTAAACCGACGATATACAGTGTAAATCAAAAAACTATACCAAATTTTATCGAATATAGTTGTAGTCACATTTTTTTCTAAACAGTATGTACCCGGATTGGGTTTACAAGAGGAAAAACTTTTTATCTTTGATTTTACGCCAAAACTGCAAAAGAAAAACATTTTTTGCTTCACCTAAAACGAACAATCTGTACTTAAAACTTGATTATTCTGATTCAATTAAAAGAAAAGTTAATTTTTCTCTTGATTTTCGACTTTAAATAATTTTTCTCAGCTTTTTAAGTTGTATCACATTGGCGATTTTATTTATTTGACAACTATATGTCACTCTGACAATTTATTGATTAAATAATGATAGTTCTTGTTAAAATAGTTAAAAATGACTTTGGTTTTTTTCTTAAAGCTGTTTTTTGGGTTATTTATTAAAATTATGTTTTTCACAAACATTCATATTACTAGTATTTCCTAAGTTGTCAGAATAATATCCAATTAAATCCAATTATGATTTTTTGAAGAAAACTTTATCGACAAACGTCAATAACCACTTTTGTGTTTAAATTACTTAAAAAAGTTTTACGTTTAAGTTAAGGCAAAAAAGTATAACTTTTACTCCTGTCATTTAGGCACAAAAGTGTCATTTTTTGACGTTTCCAAAGAAAATAGTATGTATGTTATTCGTCGGGATAAAAGTAACAACATAATCTACTATTACTCGCATTTATTATTTCGGAACTGAACAGCTCGGCTATAAAAAATCTCTTCTCTACCTTGGGATATAATATACAGAGTGGTTATAAATGATTTTCATCTAGCCAGCTGTGAATTTTCCATGTAAAATAAAAAATACCGCTTTACGAAAATAGGGGTACCTACTTGTTGTAACTCAAAATTAAAAAATCGCCGTTTACTAAGCGTCCACTTCGAAAATAGACTTCAATTATAAACTTGTTTTATTCCAAAGTATACATGATTATCAATTATTATTGGAAATTAGTTGAAACAAAAAAATTTAAGTAACAACAATTTATTATTAATTAATAAGTGACACTAATGACAGAACTAGAGCTTTCAAAAAAGTAGAGCGGCACAAATAAAGTTACATGCAAAAAAATTCCAAAGCTGGCTAGATGAAAATCATTTATAACCACTCTGTACTATTATACCGTGCAATCAAACAAAAAATAAATTAGAGTAGGCGTCGATTACATTCTACAGTTGGCAACACATTGGCTGCGAATCTGGGCTGGAAATTTTCCACACAAACCGAAAGTGAAAATGACTATTCACCGTTTTCGTCTTGTACAGCAATAAAAATTTTCTGCTCTAAAGTGAACATTATTTCACTCAAAAGGAATAAAACGCAAACTTGTCAAAGTTTCCGCTGACATTTGATGTCAAAAATCAGAATTGCCATCTGAAGGGCTTTAATCACCGCCTACTCTAATTATTTTTTTTTTGATCGTACYGTAGATATCTCGTGTTCAGTAACAGTATAATCTGAAGTACCAATTTTTTTTTGAGTTATTTCGTCATTTGAGTTATTATCAATTATCTGAGGTGAAATTTACCATTTTTTTTTMGRTACATAGGCTTAGCAGCTGTGGCCAAGAATTAGATTAAGAAGTATTTATACCAATGATCCAGTGTTGTCAACAGATCAATCATGTATGACGATAAAATTTACCATGTCTGGTTTAATGATTCAYTGTTGCCAACTTAATTTCAAAGTCACAYGTCACTTTGATCAGAAGTTGAATGTTGAATTGAACAAATGGTGTACACGTGATACACGTTATTTAGCGTAATAAAATTATTTCCAAAAAGTGGCTCATGGTTTATTTGTCCATAATCGTCTGGAAATCGAAATGCCGGTTTTGTGCAAGTGTGAAGCAGTCTTTCCCCTCTGTTATACCAACTTTGCGCACAAAAATAAACAAAACAAAATGCAAAAAGTTCCAGCATCGYCTAAGAAACGTCCAAAACCTGCAAGAAAGCTAAACTTTTCTTACCGAACAGTCGAGTCCGATGCCGATGCGGGGTATGGCCATATGCATAAAATGGGCATGTTCATGGTCGGCGGCCGTGTTATAATCCTGTTGGAGTCCTTCCACCAGCTTATTGAGGACCTCCTGCGGCACCTTGCACCCACGTCCTTTCAGATCGGCGAAGCGCGTTAGTCGAAAACTCGCCTCCAAGTCGTGCGCCAAAGGGTCGAAAGGCCGCCGCAAAGCAAGAGCATTCGGATTTCCACCCAACTCCAACTGGACAGCCCCCATGGCGTCCTGTTGGACTCCTGTTACTTGATAATCACCCATACCGGCTTTCCGACGATTGAAACTTTATGCTGACAATAATGCGTACTACCGTGTTAAAAACACTGGCTCGTCAACAGAGCGTTTCTCAAACAATCAACCGACGCTCACAAAATGGCTGCCCTTGTTTCCACAGCCCCAGCGATCTGCGCATGACACGAAACGAGAAACGATCCCATTGGTCCAAATTCGATGCGCAACTATGCACGAGGTTGTCAAAATTTTCAACGACAAACTTATTTCAAACCAAATAAAAACACAAACTAGCCACAAAAACACGCGCAAATGAGAGCCCTGACTCGGACTCACCCAAACCAGTCACCCCTCACCCACAAATCACTCCCTTTCTATTAATAAACTTTTTCAAAGAAACGGGCAGAGAAGGRGCTGCAATTTCTCAAAAGATAGTAATTCTTGAGGCACGTTGCCGGATTGTGCGCAACATTGCACGTTTAATTTCCCCAAAAAGCTCAGTTTAATACAAACATCGCAAATTTAGAACAACAAATCGAAGAAATGTCCAAATTGTTTGGCTYATTTTACGAAACATGATCTAGTTTTTTTTTTAAATAATTGTTGTTGATTGTTTTTGACAGTTGACAGRTGTGGCGACTTTTGTGTTGGTGGTGGTTGAAGTTGTTTGCAAAAATTTATTAAATTTTGATGCTTATAATTAAAAGTTTGTGTTTACATGCAGATTACGTATATTTTGCGCAAGCTTTAGTGAATGCATTTTGGCGGTTAACTCTTGTGTGTGAAGAAATGTTTATCAATGTWGAAAAGTCTCAAAATAGGGTTAGAATTACTGGAATGTAATTCTTTTCAAGTGTAGTTGATTGTAATTCAACCTGAAGTGAGGTTAGCGCCCCCTTGCTAGAATGAGTGGCCAAGTGGACGACACTATTATCAAAATGGTGCGGAATTTGAAGTCGACTGTTGGGGACGAAGCCGACAATTTTACCCCAGGGAATCACTACAAGCGCTCTTTTAGTTCAGTTTCAAACGACAGTGAGTGCAGTTTCGAAGAGCCCCTTAAAAGACCGAAGCGCGAAAGTATGCTGAACGTGTCTTACGTGGGGTCCCCTCGTGAAGTGAGACGTTTGCGAAACGACGTTTTGGAGGGGCGCAACACAATTCTGAATTTGGAAAATCGGATTCAGCACATGCACAATGTGAGGAAGGAAATGGAGTTGATGTACCAAAACGAAGTAAAATTGTTGAAGAAGCAGCACGAACATGATAGGAAAAGCATCGAAGATTTGGAAACGCAATTGATTTCGATCAGGCAAAGGGAAGCTGAAGTGAAAAAACAACTTGCTGAGGTGCTTATTTTCACGTGGAATTTTGCACAATACTCAAATTTTGTCTTCCAGGTCACCAGCAACTACAACATGTTGAAAGTGCGCAAAGACGAGGAAATTGAAGAGCTTGAGAAGAGTCTCTCCGAGATGAAGGAAGAATCACGACTGTTTGACGGTGAAGAAAACACCGAAATTGTGGCTTTGAATCGGAAGTTGGCCGAGTTGCAAATGATGTTGGATGCTGCTGAAGAAGACGCCGACGCACAGAAAAAACTAGTTCTTGAATTAGGTAATCGACTAAATTAATTAGCCGAAAAAACAAAGTTTTTTAAGTTTAAGCAGATGTTTTAACCGTCTTTTACCGAATCAAAAATGTAAATTTATCAACTTTTTCTACTTGGGTTTGAATTAAAATTTTTTTGAGTTGGAAACACTGATTAATTGTGAAACGACCTTTAGGTAATAAACTTGTCACTCATGATAGCCTACTTCACAGTGAATTTTTAGTGCCAAAAATTTGATAAATATTTCGCAAAATTAAGTCAAWAATAATCTGACAAGACAAAATTTGATCGAAAATGCTTTTCAGCACATTTTTGTAAAAATTCGAGTTTTTCGCATAAAAAAATCAAAAAAATCTACAAATTTAGTCAAAAATTAATTTTTTGGGCATTTTAAACCTTTTTTTTTTCAGCTAGAAATACAATTATTCCCCAAAATTGCATCCTAAACAAGCCGAAAAAACAAATTTAGGTCCAAAAATAATGTCATTTTTGTTTTTTTTTTCGAAATTTAAGCAGATTTTTTAACTGAATTTTTTTTACCGAATCAAAAATTACTAAATTGTTATAAAAAAAAATATATTTTTYTCTGATTTTTAGACTTTAACCACTCAGTTTATATTACAAAACCATAAACTTTTAGTACTATTAGAAAGATTTAAATCGTAATCTTGTAATCTGGTGAAAATAAGTGTAAATTTATCAACTTTTTCTACTTGGATTTGCTGAATTTAATTTTTTTTTTTGAGTTGATATTTCTGTCACTTTGACGTTTTGAATGGTCAAATTTGACGTTAAAGCCTGCTTCACAGTGAATTTTCAGTGTCAAAAATTTGATAAATATTTCGTTTATTTTGCTTGTTTTAACTGGTTTTTGAGCAACATTATGTCAGTAATAATCTGACAAGATACAAGATTTGATCGAAAATGCTTTTTAGCACATTTTTGAAATAAATTCAATTTTTCGCCAAAAAAAAAACAAAAAAATCTATAAATTAAGTCAAAAATTAAAATTTTTGGGCATTTGAACTTATTTTTCAGCTACAAACACAATTGTGTCCAAAAAAAAATCCGAAAAAACAAAGTTAGGGACAAAAATAATGTCATTTTTGTTTTTTTTTTCGAGAGTTTAAGCAGATTTTTTAACTGAAAACTCCCGTCTTTTACCGAATCAAAAATTACTAAATTATTATAAAAGACAATATATTTTTATCTGATTTTTAGGTTTTAACCACTCAGTTAATATATATTATATTTGGTACTATTAGAAAAATTTAAGTCGTAATCTTGTAATATGGTGAAAATAGGTGTAAATTGCGTAAAATCAACTTTTTCTACTTGGATTTGGTGAATTTATTTATTTTTTTGAGTTGAATACACTGATTACTTGTCAGACGACCTTTAGATAATGAACTTGTCATTCATGATGTTCCTGTCATTTTAACGTTCTGAAATGTCAAATTTGATGTTAAAGCCTGCTTTACAGTGAATTTTCAGTGTCAAAAATTTGATACATATTTCTTGTATTTCGCTTGATTTAAACGGTTTTTGAGCAAAATTAAAAAATCAAAAATAAACCTACAAAATACAAAATTTGATCTAAAATGCTTTTCAGCATATTTTTGTACTAAAATTCAAGTTTTTCACCAAAAAAAATCTACAAATTAAGTCAAAAATTAAACTATTGTTAAATTTTTGGGACATTTTAACACATTTTTCACCTAGAAACACAATTATTTCCCAAAATTTTGTCAAAAACAATGTAAGGGTCAAAAATAATGTTTTTTTTTCCAGAGTTTACGCAGATTTTTTTAACTTTTACCTAGTCAAAAATTACTATATTATTTTACTATGATATTTTTGTCTGATTTTTAAGATTTTACCACTCAGTTTATATTACAAAACCGTAAACTTTTGGAAGTATTAGAAAGATTTAAATCGTAATCTTGGAATCTGGTGATAATAGGTGTAAATTAATCAACTTTTTCAACTTGGATTTGGTGAATTTTTTTGAGTTGGAAACACTAATTACTTATGAAACGACCTTTAGATAATGAACTTGCCACTCATGATGGTCCTGTTATTTTGACGCTCTGAAATTTCAGATTTGACGTTAAAGCCTCTTTCACAGTGAATTTTCAAGTTTAATACATATTTCGTTTTTTTCTCTTGATTTAACTGGTTTTTGAGGAAAATTAACGCATTTTTATTTCAATCAGAAAAACAGTTAGCGGAGAAAAATGCTGTAGATAGAGAAATAGAGAAGAAGYCCCAAGCGCTTCAAACCGCCACCTTGCGCATAAAAGAGTTGGAGTACGCAAAAGAAAACTTTTTGGAATTCCAAGATCAGGCCAAAGTAGTGCTAAAGCTACCAATTTTGGTTATTCAAATGACTTGTTTTAGAGTCAAGCGAAGAAGTTGGCCAACTATTGCGATTTGGGGAAGGAAGTTGAGAAACTGAGGGAGGAAAATGTCAGATTGAAGGATGAAGTTAAGAATAAGTTATTGTTGGAAGAGGAAGTTCACGATTTGAAGTCGCGTTTAGTGAAATACAAAGAACAGGAAAAGAAATTGGCGWGTTTAGAGGCTGAAAAAGTCCAAACTGGAATGTATTTAGATGAATGGCGGGCGGTGGCGCGTGGAATTTGTGAAACGGTGGGTTCGGATTCGTCGCTTCCTCATCTCTTACGTTGCGCTGTTGAAAAGTTGCAACAACAGGAGATTTCGCTGACGTCGGCAAAGGTCGAATTGGAATCGCAATTAACAGCCGCCTTATATGTGAGTTTTTCATATTTTTAATATTTTAGCTTGAAAAATTAATCGTCTTTAAAGCAATACAAATAACATGAAATAACAAAAATAAATATTTCTAATTGATTAAAAAAAAATTGCTATTGCAAACGATAGAGGATTATATAGACTTCAATTTGCTGCTTRAATATTGTACAAAATTTTTAGCGTTGTCAGTGAGACCCTAAAAAACAAATTAGGAAAACAAAAATTAATTGGAATTTTTTCTAAATGGTAAAATTCTTTGATTTATGATAATGATTTTGATAATGTAAAAGTTACTACAAACCCCCCATAAATTATTCCAAGTTTCAGATTTTCATTATTAAAATGTTAATTACTCAAAACTTATCAACTTTATCATTATTTTATTTTCACAAATACCACAGAAAAAAATTAAGCAATTTTATCATMTTGAAAATATTCCAGTTAATTGATTTTTTTTCTCCAAATTTAATTTCTAAGGTCTCACTGCAATTTGCTAAACATTTATTACAATATCAAAACATTAAATTAAAGTTTATTTAATCCTCTAACGTTTACACTATCAAAATTCTTTTTTTATCAATAGGAAATATTTATTTTTGCTCCGGCTCTAAAACTTGGGACACCCTGTACATACCAGGTGAATAAAAAGTATGGAACTAAACGTTTTTTTGCGTCAATTATTTATTTTTGGGGAAAAACTAATTGATGAATAATGAAGTACTATAAAAATGTGATGTTTTATCAAGAATACAATTTTTCGAAATTTCCTTTTGTTTTTAAGTTCTACAAAAAATTTTATTTTTTTAAATGGCTACCCACTATAAAACCATTTTTCTTATAAAGTTTATGATCTAAGGATTACAACTATCTACTTTATGTTTAATTGTTTCATAAAAAATTTRTTACATAAATTGCAATTTTGACAAAAAAATCACATAACTCAAAAACAAAACAAAATTTAGTTTTTAAATTACGATCATAATTATATATTATTTTTTATATATTATTTATATATTATTTTAATTTATATTTATTATTATTTTTCTGGAGCCAAATGATTAAAAGAAACCGCTTGGTTCCATACTTTATATTCACCTTGTATGTTGGTATCACTTGTAGGACTTGAAACAATTACGCAAAAAAAAATTATTCTTCTCTATTTTTGTATTTAATATTTAGAACATTTAAAAACAATATAATTTTTAATATAGCACAAGAGAAAAAATCAATAAATAACAAAAGGGTTAATGTATGTAAAATGCTTGCTAAAATGCTAAAGTTGTTAAATTTGATTAAAAAAATTCGGAAACAATTAAACTAACATTTTTTTGAAAATTCGCATGAATGTTTGGAAATTGAGTGTGGGGGTATCAACTTTAATTAATGTATGTAATTAATTTGAAATGAGTAAAATTAGGGTATGAAAAGCTAATGGTTTCAAAAATTAGTTTCTTGATTTTTTTGTAATTTTTTCAAA